TTTGCAGGCGCAACCGCAGGGAATCTGGGCTCAGCGGATGAGGCGCGCGGAGTGAGGTCGTTGTCGGTGTTTGTGTTTGGCTGCTTTGCGTTATCGAGAGGGATGGTGAGTTTGCTCATTACAGATCGGGCGTAGATGGAGTGGGAGCTGAGGCGGCGGTTGGTAGTCGAGGTGTTTGAGGAAGCTGAGGATCGACGGCGATGCGGTTGTATGCGATTTACAAGCTCGGTCACCATCGGCGTCGGGACTGCTTCCATGTTCGGCGTCATGCCAAGATGTCGAAATACTTATGTCAAGCTAGCCTGGCCGCTGCGCTAAGATAGCACCCAGGGCGCTGGAGGCGAGTCGCGGCTGCCGGTGCAAGACTGAGTTGGGTTGAGGAGATGTTTCAAAAAAAGTTGTGTGGAAGAAGGGTCTCTGTTGGAATGTCGGGTGGATTTGCAGAAGCAGGCTGATCGGGCCGTTGACCTTATCAAGGGCTGGCTCGATATGACTGTTCGGAGTCGGCCTTTGGTTGAGAGAACCACGGGTACGCCGCTGGAACTAGACCGTTGGCGGAGGACGAGTTTTCAGGAACGCGCGCAAACGCGTTGAGAAATGCATCATCGGCAGTTTATATCTCGCAGCCTGGTCGGTGAAACTGCGATGCAATAAGGCGCGACTTGTCTGCATCCCTCGCCATGTTACAGGCCGCTTGGCAGGTGCAGGTGTTCATTGCTCGAAGCGGACAAACCCCACAGTCCGACTCCGATAACCAATCAATCCACCACGCCTCCCAATACAGCTCGCGACGATGAAGAGAGCACACCTTTACTATGATCTGTACCCAGGTACAGGCCGAGTTAAGAACCAAAGTAGCCCTGAATCAAGCCATGGTTCCATTGTCGTGTGATGCTCCATTACTTTCAAGGTGTCTCGCACTCGTCCGATGTCGACCAGTTCGTGGGTGGACCCAACAACGTCAGCGTGCAGCCACCAACTCCACAATTGTACTGTATAGGCCAAAGTCCTTGGCACACATATACAGTACACACGCGACATGTATTTCCCCAGATTCCGAGAGGCCTTCCAGACGCGCCTTCCGTATCGTGGGGATCCTGAACCACCTGCAACATGCTTGGAGCGATACCACGCTAGCCTTGTCACCCATGGTGAAATTGTTTGTCGAAAAGCAAAAGGTAACTGTCACGTCCGAGGAGCAGAGTCGGGAAGTGACTATGTCGTAAGCTTCAGCGTCAGGACCAGCAGGCAGATGTACGCTGAGACGCTCAAGGCTGTCAACACAGACACCACATTGCCGGATGTTCGGAACTTCTTCCTGTGCAGGCCATCCTCACCGACTTCTGAGAAGAACTGTTTGTTTCCTATTCGCTGTCAGCACCCGCATTCTCGTCGTCATACATCCGCATGATCGTTCCCAACTGACCTTGTTGTCGCCGGAACAAACTGATGAACAAGATGCCAGCACCATAGACAGCGAACAGCGCACCGATCGAGTAGAACTCGGCGGTGAAGATCTTTAGCACGACAAGCGCAAAAGAAAACTGGCCGATTGCTGTACGGACGTAGGCGCCTTCGAATGTTCGCTGTGCTGCGCGGATTTCAACCAGCTCTGGACCAGTCAAGATGACTGAGCGTGCGCGATGTAGATGGAGACGATATCTGTCTGCTGCGTGACGGCCCTGGACGTTGTGAGCGCTGGACACTTCTTGACGAAACATGCAAAGATCCTACCTCGAACATGGTGACTGTTGCAGGTTCACCAAGGTGTGGAAAGATGGCAGTCAGTGGTGATGTTGCTATCCCGGTACTACCTCGGGACACAACTGGGTACGCGATGGATAGCTAGAGGAGCCGGGTGACGTAGTGGGGTAGGGAGTATCCCGAGGTTCAAACGACAACGCGTCGAGCAACCCGCCAGTACGTGTTTTCACTTCCACGACCTGTATATTCAAGTCGCACGATAATAAAAGTCGGACTTCATGAAGATGTCTCGTTCTCGCGAAATGTCAAACGCGGTTAGTTCTACACAAACGCGTTAGCGCGCCTTCCCAAGATGAAGCTCCAGCGACTGACGTTGCTGCAGGGTCCAAGCACCTCCGAAGTTGTTCCTCCGTAACCGTCCCCGCAACCACAAACAATGTTGCGAAAAGTTCAATCCGATATATAATCTCGCGAAGACACCGAATCCAAGTAGAATCGCCATCCCCTTTCAACGAGAAAGCGCTGCATGCGACTTGGCGCCTGGCGAAACTTCACGCAGCGCGTCATATTTCCTTCTGTTAGGACCAGCGTACGGTATGTTCTTATTGCGAGTGCTCGACAACGCGACTTGTCATCACTTTGTAACTTTGGTCTCTAATTGACACGATTAGGCACTCGAACGACCGCCGAACCCGCTTTACAAGCCCATTGTCTCGATCGCACGTAACGTTTGTACGCCCATTTCCGCCCTGGGACGACTACCCTGACACTCGTGTCAACGAAGAGGGAAGAATGGGGAAGTGGAACTACTACGGAGTAAAGGTCGGGCGCAAACCGGGCATCTATACGGATTGGCCGAACACAGAGGCCCAAGTCAAGGGCTACAGTGGTGGACTCCAACAGGGCTTCAAGACCCGAACGGAGGCTGAGGAATACGTCTACGGCCCCAATGGACGTTCTAGTGCACCCATAAGCCTACGAGGAGATCTTTCTGCGTCTGGGTCTCCGTCGGCGACAGGCAATCTGGACAGGAGTAGGGAGATATCAGAGAGTGCGCCCAAGCGACAAAAGAAGGAGAACGCACCACCGGCATTGATTCCAGATCACCAGGAAGCCAGGATTGAGCCCGGGTACGGCCCCCTTCCGCCAGACGCAGTAGACGGTTTCGACCCGAATATCAAGCTCGACGAGCTAACAGGCAGGATCAGAGAGAAGACGGAGGCGGAACTTGGCAAAAGGAAGAGACAGCCCATTGGAGACGCCAAAAGCCCCGTTGTGGTATACACTGACGGCGGTTCGCGGGGCAATGGCAATGCTGGCGCCAAAGCCGGTTGTGGTGTCTACTTCGGCCCACAAGATCCCAGGTTCGTGTGGTGCCCAGCATGTTCTGTACGAGAGACAGCCCACTAATATCAATGCAGGAACGTTAAGGAACCTCTAAGGGGTGATCTCCAGACCAACAACCGAGCCGAATTAGTCGCAATATCTCGCGCGATCGACCACGTTCCCATCGACCGCGACATGGAGATCATCAGCGACTCCAGATATTCTCGCGACTGTCTCACACAATGGGTCCCAGGCTGGGAGAAAAAGGGCTGGAAGAATTCTCATGGCAAAGATGTCATGAACAAGGAAATCATACAACCCATCCTGGCGAGGATACGAGAACGCGAAAAGGCCGGCGCCAAGACCAAGATCACCTGGGTCAAGGCCCACGACGTCAATCCAGGCAACATCGCAGCCGATAATTTCGCAAACCAAGCTATGGACAATTGGACTGTCGATCTTGCGTCCGGGAACACATTTGACATGTCAGAAACCTTGCGGACGAAGTACAGAAACCCTAATGATCCGCCATCACCAAAGCAAGAGTATGATGTGGAAGAAATGGAGGGATATCTACGCCAGCTTGCAGATGAGGACCTGAATGGACTCAGTGATTATCCTTCAGCTGAAGCCGTTAATCAGCCTTCGATTGACGTCGATCAAGCTGCTGCTGCTTCGGCACAGGACGTCGACGACGTGTTTGCTGACCATCCAGCGTTCGCATCGAGGACCAATGGAGAGGAGAAGGAGACGGAACGGGACTTGGCATACTAGATACCCGCCAGCTGCCGAATAGGCGGTATGCGGTTGGACTGCAACTAAATCAGTCAACCATGGTACGTGTACGAGAGATGAATCTAACAACAATACTTCTTCAACACCTCCCAAATCCTCTGCCCCTTCCAACCACTTCCAACCACTTCCACACATGCAATCTTGACATGGCCCAACCTCACACCATCTACCAACTCCCCGCCACTACCACCACCACCACACCAGGCCACAACGCAATGTCTCACAAACCCGAACCCATCGTCCCAACACCTCCCTCACGCCTTTCTACACTGACGTCCCATCTCTCCACCTTCCTCTCCGAAGCAGCATACTACTTCTCCTGGTACATCGTCATCGCCATCGTATTGAAAATGCTCCTCGTAAGCATCGCGGAGGTTATCTATCGCCTTCGCTATTGCGCACCACAAGGCTTCCTTTGGAGAGCATGCGGGGTGCCTCTTCTAGGATTAGTTTTCGAATGTTTCTTGAAATATGTATGTGCCACGGTATTCTGGTGGATGCTGGAGATTGCTTGGGAGGAATGGTGATGAGTGGTGGTAGGCGTGAGGAGCTGGATTCGGAGGTTTGTGGTGAGTGTGTCAATGCGCTATGCTATCATCTTGGGTTATTTGGAGGGAATATCAATCTGGGTACTTTGAGTGGGTCGGTGTACGCGGGGCCGGAGGGAGGTAAGTGGACGCCTTTCATGTTCTAACATCTGTGTACTACCGCGATGGCACGGGTAGTTGATGGATGTACGGGCTAAGCACTCCAAGCATCGCACGCCAAGTTCGGAAGACGGCACTGACGTGCGAATGGGAACGAACATACTCCCCGGATCCCATTCCGAGTCCTTCGCCACAGGCTAGTCAAGTGTGTCTGCACTCGGAAGAAACGGCTACTAACACTAATTAGGCCACCCACCATCATCATCATTGTCTATAATAATGACCTGTCTTCGCCCCGCTCTATCCACCTCTCGAATTGAGTCTCACGTTCCAACGCACCATCAGTTCCCTCAGTCTTTGTCATCTCGTCCATTACATTATTGAATGAGGTATTCAGTCATCGTGTACGTCTTTTGCATTGTGGGACTCACTCCCAGTAAAACAATATACGACCACCTATATCTCCTCTTCACCGGCTACGCTTTCCACATCTACTCCGTCCACACCACCCAACACCACCGGTTAAGCATGCCCGACAACTTGGACCAATCGCAAGCCCATCTATCCCAATCCGATTCCCAGACCAACTCCAGCAATAGCAGCATGTCCACCACCAACGATGTCAAACAACACCGCCGCTACTCGCGTTGGTGCCGCGTGCTCGGTGTCACGCAAGTCGTGCTGCAGACTGTGTATCTGGGGTTGAACTACAGGCTTAATGGGCATCTGACGGGTCTGCAAATGACGACCGCGGGGTTGTATATACTGGGTGCGGCGCTTATGGAGGTTGATTTGAGGAGGAAGGAGAGGGAGTTTTGGAGTATGGTGGAGAACGGGGGGAGGAGGGATGTCGAGAAGGGGAGGCTGGCTTGGGAGGAGAAGGCTGTGAATGGGGAGAAGGAGGTGAAGGAGGAGGGGAGGGTTGATGCGAAGACGGGGTTTTTGGGCGAGGGAGCGGAAGGGGGAGAGGAGAGATACAAGGGTGAGGATGGTGGTGAAGAGAAGGTGGAAGTAAGGGTTGAAGAGATGAAGGAGGGCTCTGAGATGTGAGTTGCGACTATGGACCTCTTCTAACGAGGGATGCTAGACGCCTTCGTCGTACAACCTAACATCGCCTTAGTTTGAAGTTTCCTTATTATCATGTTGGCCTACTTCTCTTCTTTATCGCTTGGATGATCCACTAGAAGCTAGTGGCAGTTTGCTCATAATCAAAGTCAGGTGTTTGCGCATCAAAGCGTCTTACACTACAGCGACAAAGCGTGTAGGTGCAAGTAAGATGCATATATGAGTTGACATAAGACGATTGCTAGCGTCGTACATCAAACTTTAGGCACGTTGATTGCGCAATTTGCTTAGAGTTTAGCAAACGTGTATTTAAAAATGAAATAAAGGGCTTACAAGCTCAGCGCTATGAAATTCCTAGACTGAGTGGCATATTACCTAACTTCGTCCTAAAACCTCTATACCCACTCTCAACCTTTACACACACTTTGCAACGTCGTACCTCAACACCGCCACCCCAAGTCCGCGATGTGCCATGCATTCGAAACCATCCTGTCAACGAGCTTCTGGTATACGATTCTCGCGATCGCAATCATAGCCTTAATCCACACGCTTGTAGCCATCATCGCCCTCTGCGCATACGCATGCAGAGTCGAAGGCGGCGTTTGGATAGTTCTTTTCCTTGCTTTCATGGTTCTTTGCACGTTTTTCGGTGTAGTGTTCTTCTTGTTTCTATGCGGCATAGATGTTTTGGGGATCGATGAGGCTGGGCCGTGGGTGGACTGAGTTGGCTCCCAAGGTTGGCAGGAGGTGGTCTTTTGGTAGCGAAACCACGTGGAAGTCGACTGCGCCCTGCGCGAAAATGAGAAAGATTTCAATTCCATGGTTAGGATGACGATAAACTTTGGTTGCAGACTGCAGTCTCTAGGCTGCTCTCTAGGTACGATTTTTATAAATGCCTCCAACTGCTAAAGCAACATCCTCCATCTCATCATAGATACGCACCCTCCGCATCAACTATCCAGACAGAAAGCATTTCAAGATGATGTCTCCAGCAGCAAAATTTGTGCTTCTTTCAACACTAACAGGTGGCATCGTCGCGACTTCCTCTCCAACGGCAACTGCTCTCGGCACTCGTGGACTTGCGTCCGTTTCAACCTCAATGCCAACGATTTCCACACCGACTTCCACCTACAAGATTCCTTTCAAAACTGGTCATGGCCCAGTCGTAATCTCAACCTCAGTCCCTGCATTGACACTGCATGACCCCAAACTCAGCACACCAACGCTTATATCTTCACCAACAAATGAACCAGCGTCATAGTGCGTGAACCCCCTGTCATGCTAAACACTCTCTAAATCTCATCGCTAACAGTTACAGTCACAACATCTGGTCCAGCAACGAGCACCAACCCGAACGCACATTCCCCCGCCACATTCCCGGCGAAATCAGTTCAAGGGAAGGTAAAATTGAAGGCATCACCATCGATACCATGTACGACACCGACTGTCATGGAGACGATGGAGATGCCCACATCTACTTCACCATCGCATACACCAACGGCACACTCGCCTACGACCCGCGCGGCCGACCTGGCCTCTTCGCTTTCACAACACCCTGGTACATCTCGTACCCAAAAACGCTGCGAAAAGCCATCTTCAACGACGCAACCCCGTATCGCTCCAAACAAAAGTCCGAGGACTGCAAGCACGGCCACTGTTTCAGTGAGGTCCTGCCGGGGTTACTGTATAACGACGAGCCTGTCAGATTGAAGCGCGTCAAGAACCCGAAGACGCTGAGAATGTCATCAAAGACGTTTGATATCGATCGGGACTACTTTGCGCTTGGCGAGTGTCACTATGACGACAGCCTACTCGATATCTGGAGGATGAGTGTGTATCTCGGTAGGATTGGATACTATATCCACGGCGCCAACATCCCACCTGCTGTCATCGACTATGTGGAAGATAGAGTACGAACGACGTATCCGACGCTGGAAATTTGCCTGATACTCTGGGGGACACTTGGTGCTATTCCGACTCTCATATTCGTCTTCATTCTCCTAGTCTATATAGTGATTGTGGCAGCTGCGTTGCACCATAATGTGCCACAGATGTGGGCTTCTGCTAAACGTAGCCGTGAGGCTATGTGGAAAACTATCACCATGGCGCCGGGTAAGGGATGGGATGCGGTGAAGGGACGTTGGAAGAGAGGGTTCAGGCGCCAGAGGAGTGTAGTCACGCCACCGAATACGGTGCAGTCGACGGTGGATGAGCAGCTGCCGACTTACGAACTTCCCGAGTGGACACCTTCGGAACTTGCAAGGCCGCCGAGTTATCGTACGTATGATGGTGGTTGCGAGGGGTTTAATGCTGTCTGAGAGGTCTGGAGGAATGGAAAAAGTAGAGATGTGTATGATGAGTTTGAGGGAGATATACTGGATAGCATAAGAACGTACATGAATTGAGATCTTTGTCACTTATACTGCACCATGCCGTACACGACTCACCACAATACACCCTCAACGCATCCCCAAGGGCCCTCATCACCCCTCCACCACCCCAACAACCCTAACCTTAATCCCCTCACCCCCCAAATCCGGCATCCCCAAAAAACAATCATTACTCGTCAGCACATCCCTACTCTCAACCGTATCCCACACCTCCATCCGAAACCTCCGCCAAATCATCGCAAGCCCCGTATACAATTCCGACGTAGCAAGATTCATACCCAGACAGTTTCGGCTCCCGCGCCCGAAAGCAAAAAGGTAGCGCGTAAGTTTGGGGTTTTGTATCCACCGCTCCGGACGGAAGGCGAATGGGTCGGGGTAGATGGCAGGGTCGGTGTGGAGGAGGTAGGAGGATTGCATGATGGGGGTGCCGCGGGGGAGGGTGTAGGGGCCGTATGAAAGGGATTCGCCAGTGGGGATGCGGGGTTGGCGGGAGGAGACGCCGTGGGCGGTGCGGAGGCCTTCGTTTATTACTGCGGTCTGAGATGCTGGTTAGCATCGTTTGGTTTCTTGCATGGAGTGTACGGCTTACCAGGTATGGCAGAGCTTCTAACTGGGGTAGTGAGACTTCATGATCTACCGTTGGCATCACAGTCTTCAGTTCCTGTCTCAATTTCTCTCCAACTTCCGAGTTCTTGATCAAGTAGTAGGTGGTAACCGCCAAAGTCCTTGCCGTCGTCTCCGTCCCCGCACCAAGGATAACACTAGCATCCGCCGTCAACCGCTTAGGATGTTTCTCTTTCTCCGGAAGTTTGCAACCAACATCATCTCGTACATCATGAAATATCGTGCGCCTCAGATTCTTCGTATCGCCATCGCCGTCCTCAAAGTTCATAATGCGTTCGATTCTGCCTAGCGTCCTGAGACTGAAGGTGTTCACTGTGGCTACCCCGGGGCTTAGTTTCTCGACAACTTTTGGCGGAAGATCGAGCATGAAGTTCATGATAGTAGGGAATTGGCGCGCAAATGGCTCAATCTGAATCCCGTCGTGCATAACTTTGAGCCAGATTTTAGCGTAATCGTCGTGGTCTAGGGCTTTGATCGATTCGCCGAAACAGTACTCGGAAATGGTGTCCATGGTGAAAGCGGCGTATGCGTCGTTCAGGTTCACGACACCGGCTCTGGGGTCTGTCTTTTCGAGTTCGCCTGCGAAACGATCCATAAGCTTTTTGGTGTTGTTCACGACGAGCTCTTCGAGAGCTTGGACCGAGCGCTTGCTGAAGAAAGGCGCTAGGGCGTTTCGTCGCATTTTATGCAAGTCATGGTCTATAGTGTCCAGTATCGCGCCTTCCCAAGACTTTGCACCGGTGTGAAACGACCAACTACAACGATCGCGTTTGTGACTCATGCCGGACGCGTAGATCGTATCGAAGTAGTCTGCATCATGGATATGGACCTGAAGAGGATTGATCCGTATGATGGGCCCTGTTACTGCGGTCAGAGCCGTAAGGCAGACAATAGTGTTCATGGCGCACCGTATTCTTCATGTAGCTGCTTGATCTTCCACAAGTACTGGAATTTGTGCGGATAGATCTCATAGTAGAACTCGTACCAAAATGTGAACGCGGCCAACTACACAGCGTTAGTCAGGCTTTTAAGTCTTTCCTAGAACACGTTGTCCTCTAGCACGTACCTTTGGCCCAGGAATGTGTGCTAGAGGGTGGAAATACACCCTATACACACCGATGGCGAGCCAGTACAGGATCCATATTGCGAACAGAGATGCAACGGTTTCCTTCGATGCGCTACTCCGGACGAAATTCCATAGCTGGTCCATGATAAGTGCGGTGGCTGATGCGAGGGCATCGCATCTTCCGCGTGAGGGGGCCTCGGTAAGCCATATATGTACACGCTAGAGACGTCGCGCAGGTAACGTGACACAATACCATAATATTTTGAGACCCCGCTGTGTCAGCATGTCTGCAGGGTGGGATATGCAAGGGCGCCAAGACCCTGCACGCCGCTAGCGCTTATCACAACGCTGATACGCCATGCGGACTACACGAGCCGGCTGCATGGATTATTAGAGTTAAGATGATTGGTTGGCGGTAAGGGATGGATAATATCAGATTGACCAGTAACATACGTCCTTGTTGCTGGGTAATCGGGTACCAGCTGGTGTTGGTGTTCCACGAGATGGCACTAGCTGGCAGCCTTGGGCTGATCTCACGTGCCACAGCCTGACCAGCACTCCGAAATGTTGGCAACACTCTTGGAATGAGATTTGACGTCCTTCGTAGTACGCCCCAGGAGGTTCGCTCTCATGACACCCTGTGCACGCTCAGAGACTCATGATACTGCGCGTCTGCAAAACTGGCTAGCCAAAACACGGGCATCATCCTCCGTTCTTTTGTCTTTGGCAGCGGTTGTGTCATTGGACTAGACCATTCTAAGCCTGGCCGAAGGACTACGTACGCACCGATATCGTGCCCATATATGCTGGTTACTTCGTACGGTGCTGAGTCGATGATCACATGAGATCTTCGATGAGTTCTGTCCTGAGAGGCTGCTGCTCAGTAACGCTTCTACGACGAGTTCACCTGGAGGCACTTACGAGGAACATGTGAACACTCTCAACAAGATCTCCACCCGAGTGTCTCAGATAGACGGTGCATATCGGACGAGGACGTGACATCAAGTAGGTCGTCCCATGCGTGATGTCGATAGTGGCTTCGAACTTGAGAGTCGGTGGCACTGTAGTATTTCGATCGGCAGATATATTTGGAGAGCAGCACGTCCGATAGGCGCCCATATCCCGTGGACGAGCATGTTGTGCACAAAGAGCGAGGCCCAAGCCGTTTATAAGGGCAACTTCTTCCTCGACGACCTGAGCGGTTGGACGCGCAGCTTCTTCTTCTTCTATCATCCATCGCACCAGACCGAGGAGATTGTCGTCGGCGGCCGTTGAACCTATCCACACGTCTTCCTCAAACCATCCAACGATGTGACTGAGATTCGACTGGAAAGATCGGTCTTTTGATTTCCGAAGTCTCTGGCTGACTTGCAATTCGTGTCTCATGTACAGTGTTATGATCTCGAACATAATGCATCCGAACGAAAATATGTCTGCCGAACGTCCACTAGGTGCGAAACTCGCGACTTCTGGCGCAAAGTATTTCGGTGTACCTCGCTCGCCATTTTCGGAAACGCTGGTGGTGAGTACTGAGAAGTCTGCTGCCGTGCCAAAGTCGGTCAGCCATAGCCCATGTCGGGACAGTAGGATATTGGATGGCTTCAAATCTTTATGCTTGATATCGGATGCATGAAGAAATGTTACTGCACTTGCTATGCAGCCGATGGTTTGTTTGAGAAACGTTGCCGCCGGAGAGGTTGAGATAGCCTGGCCCTGGATTGGGATTCCAAGTGCGTGTAGCCGTGCTTTGCGATCGTGTTCATGCTCAGTCTCGTCTTCTAGCGGCTCGATTTTCAATTTGCTCCAGAAAGACGTTCGCATAACCAGCCAGTCTACGTCTTCAAGTAGAGTGGCAAGGTCGCAGGTTGCAACAGGCCACAGCAATAGCCCGAGGAACGGGCCGTGTGTGTATGCCCCCATCAGGCGGATGATGTGGTGATGGGAGAGTTTCTTGATAATCTTGATCTCGCGTCTCTCTCTTTTGTCTATCTTTCGACGGCAATATTTGCGCTTCCAGGCGAGCTTGACCCCACTACAACTGGTTTCGTACACCCCACCTTGCATGCCATGTCCGAGGAACTCACCCTGGACGAGAGGGAGAATCTCGGACTTGTGATAATCGACATGAGACGTCCCGCGACCGGACCAATCCAGTGCTACGCCATCTATGCACTCGCAAGGCGGCTGTTCGAGTGGACTTGATGTACCGAATGAGGAAAACTGGCTGGAGTGGTGTTGTATCGGCATGCGTCGGGGCATTGGGACGATGTGGGATCAAAGCTGTCGTGAGAAGTAAAATGCCATCGTAAAAGTCGACCAGGCTGTAGAAACTTTTCCTTGGTTTCGCAACGTTTATTGACCTTCGGCTGCGGGGCTTTTTACATAAGCCGCAGTATGCAGGCCGGGGTGGGCGATACCCAACCATCTACCTCAGCCGTGTCAGCTGAAGTACTGCCGGGAGAATCCAGGAGGGACCTTCTGCTGTGCACGTGAGGGACTGTCTAATGCGTCTCTCTAGTGAATATCGCGGCAAAAAGAAAGGAGAGGAAACAAAAAGGATTGAACAAGCTCAAAGCCAGGATTGAACTGGCGATCTTCGCATATCGTCGTCTGAAACGAGCTACGAGTGCGACGCCTTACCACTTGGCCATTTGAGCCGACTTATTACCGAAGATGGGTTTGCAGATCATATATAGGCCTATTGATAGCGAGGAGGGGTGTCCAGCGCCAGCGCGAGCGACGTTTGTGGCGAATAAGGTACAAACGCTGTTGGGACGGCGAGCGGAGTGGACCTTCTGCGCTGAAACCACCTACTTGCGGATACTCGCCTTATCCACATTACTGATCAACGCATTCCTCCACTCTTGATCCTTCAGTATACTCCGCACCCTAGCCTCCAACCATTCGGTATTCCCCCAGAAGCCCCAGCTGGCCTGAAAGCGGAGCCAGTCTACGAGCGCCGTCTCCCAATGTCGCACGAAGATCGACCAGTTGTACTCTTGTTTGCCGGTCTCTCTCAACCTTTCCCAGTATCGCTGCAACAGCTGCTTTTCGCCTTCTTGCATGGGTAGCTCCCGCGGGATATGCGAGTCGGCAACGAGCATGCTTAGCGGAACGGAGCATGTGAAGAACTTGGCGAGATCGCAGACGCCCAGGCCAAGACCAGTGTACTGGAAGTCGTAGAACGCGACCTCTTCACCGGACTTGCTGGTAAACATGTTTTCAGACTTGACATCACCATGGATCAGAGTTTGGTATGCTTCGATTGGTGACCGACCGGATGCATTCGGTGAGAGGAACGCTGCCGCTATCTCAGAGATGGAGAGGTCTTCGCCATCGACCCAGTCCGTGAGTGGCTCGTTCCACTCGGCGTCGTAATCCTTCGCCAGAGTATCGTACTCCTTGCGACGCGTCGCAAGATAGGTATATCCGCCATTGAGCCACACCGATTTGTTCGACGAGGCCTGTCCATAACGTTGTACTTCCTCGAGCGGTGGTAGGACCAGAGACGCAGAGTCTAAAGACTTGACGCGGGTCCACCAGAAGCCATGAAAGCCAGAAAGCCAGTCCAGCGCGGCATGAGCTTGGGTCGTTGTCAACACGTCGCGCTTCTCTCCAGCCACAGGATATTGTTGTTTCAGATCGCTCAATAACATCGCAGTCATCGAGGTGCCGTCCGTGTTGTGCCTGTTGATGCTAGCGACGCATTCGGCGACCGGCAAAGTTGCTGGCATTTGGGGTGCGAGGTGGCTGTAGAAGTATTGTTCTATCTGATAGCTCAGGATCTTCCGGGTATGGCCTTCATCGCCTGCCTTCGTCGGTGGGGGGTTTACGAGTTTGAGTACGTAGGATTTCGTCGAATCTGGCGAGCCTATCGGATTAGCGAACACGCGACATATCTCGCCGTAGCCTGCCCATAACGACTGGATGGTCTGCAGAGATTGGAGTTCTAGTCCCTTCTCCGAAAGAAGCGCAGATGCTACTTCGTCTGGTGATACTCGTGCAGGCATCGAATCTGCTGGTTGCCGTAGACGGGCGTATAGAAGCGGTAGTAGGAGGATTGAGATACAAGGGACGAAGAAGCAGGCGAAAATTAGCTGCGACCGTGTGATCATCCGTACAGCGAAGAGATAAAGGTGGAAAGTGTGTAGTCTAGGCGCCTAGTCAAGGAGATTGGCGTTGGTGACCACCAAGGCATGCTGTTGTTGCAAAAGTACGCCGAGGGGTTGGATGACGCGACGCGTCAAGCTAGTCATGTGCGGCTGACATAAGCGAGTGTCCTGAATCGAGCTCGCCGCCCATACACCTGGGCATGCCCCACGCCTTATCAAAGTCGATACTGCCCTTCGCACTTCATGACATTGCAAAACTCGAGAACCTCCACACCACTGTACTGGAAATGAACGACGAAGATTACCGAATCGACGAGACGCCAGATACACTCAAAATGGGCCATTCTGATTGACCAAACTCATGCATTGGTATCTACCACGGAAAAACGAACAAGGGTTTACAGAGCTCTAATCGCATCTACAACAAGTACTGGAAGTAAATATTCTCCTTGTCTGTCATGTCTTGTAGACCATTCTCTCCATGGACCTCAGCACCTGCCTCATGGAAATGGCCGCTCATCGAGTAATCGATGGGGTTCCTAGGAAGACCGGCCGCCTCACGCTGGTCGCACTTCTTCTTCTGCATCCAGGTGATAAGAACGACTTGAGCGACAACGACTCCCCAGAGGATGCACCAGATTATCAAGATGCCCTTGAGAGCATTGACCTAAAAACGACTTATTAGCGAGGGACTCTTGGCTGAGCATGTGACAGGGATAAGATACTTACGTATTGCGGTTGGAACTTCGAATCGAAGATGTACGGGGTAATGATGTTGCCTACGGAGTTTCCAGCGTTGAAAGACGTGTAGTAGATGGCCTTCTTGGTTTGTCCGGCGCAGTTGGAGCCCATCCAAGAGATGAGCAGAGGGTTAATGGCGTACACGAAGGCAATAAGATAATAGCCTGCGAGCAGGCCACCCTTGTTGTCCGGAGTTTTCGGGAGCGCAACCAAGAGAGCAACACCGACAATGACGATGGTAACGAGGCCGAGGAAGAATGGCGACTTGCGCTTGAAACGGTATGCGAGCCACGATGCACCAAGAATGGAAACGACCTGAAGCGCTCCGAAAGGCATGTTCAGCAAGACAGCTTCGTCTGAGCTGAATCCAGCCAGGTTCTTCAGGATGATGGAGCCGAAGACCGAAGAGACCGACGCACCAGCATTGACAGCGATGACCATGATCATGTACAGCCAGTACTTGGGTTCACTCAAGGCCTCGGCGACATGACTCCAGTTGAACTTGTGCGAGACGATACCCTGTTGATTCGCCTTCACTCGGTCCACAGCCTTCAAGCGATCCTCCGGTGTCAGGAATCGAGCCTCGCCGGGGCTATCGTGGGCCCACCAGTAGGTAATAAGACCAATTACGATAGTCAAGAGCCCGAAGAAGAGATACACCATCTGGTAGCGGTATAGCGAGGACGAGTTTATCTGCGCGAAACCGTAAACGATGGGTGAACTGAGAACGGTGCTAAGACCATAGCAGCTGTACCAGCAAGCCACGCGGAATGGCTGCTCGGAACGCCTGTAGAAGGCAATGGTGATCATCGAGAACAGGGGAACGACCATAGCCTCAAAGGCACCGAGGAAGAATCGCGATGCCAGCAGCCCGGCGTAATTCCTAGAACCACCGAGGCCACCGGCAACTGAAATACCCCAACATGTGATGATGACGGGAAGGACGTGGCGGTATCGCAGCTTGACGAGGATCCATGCGGCCAAAGGCTGCACACCGAGTTGCGCATAGTATCCGATGTTGCCGATGTTTGAGTAGTCGTTGCCCTTGAGATGGGCATCCTCCTTCAGACCATAGACGGCCGTCAATCCGATGATTCCCTTGTCGGCGGATTGCAGGAAGTACACCATGCAAAGGAGCGACAACATCCAAATGTCGGTCTTGCGCAGAATGCGTTTGCTGTCTGCCTCGGTGCAGATGTGAGCCTCGCTTAGGCCAGCCTCCTTGCCCTCCTCATATGCCACGGCATGGTCAATCGAAGTGTCGGACACATGCTCCATGCCGATGGCGGTCGGCTTCTCGTCCGCGGAAGCCATGTCGCAAGGTCAATGGGTGAAAAGATGGAGAAAAGAAGAGATCTGGGGATGAGCTACAATCTGGGGTACAAGTCTGGGGTAGACGTTTATATGCCTTCGTTAACGCGACGCGAACGACACCAGCGGGACCCGGCCCAACGGCGCAACGGACTAGAATTATCCCTCCAACAGCTTTGCGCGCACTAGAAGGATGCACCGATGCATCCGTGCCTCTGTGAGCTGTGCTGATGCGAGCTTGTTGTAGCCAATAGCCCTGGCAGGAGGTCCTGATAGCAACCGGCTAAATCGATGGGAGGGAAGTGCTCGTGATGCGCCCATCGACCGCGGGAAGTACGAGCTTATGTCTGGATCAACGGCTCGGACTTTGACAGACCGAGAAGGTTATGAGCGTGTGCGACGAAGTAAGTAAGGCTCACGGTGCTTTGATGGTTGACAGGTTTACCCGAGTGGTGTTGGGTTGATAGTCGAAGTCTATGGGTATAGTACGCACCGCTCCATCGTACATCAACGAGACTAACCACCTGCCGATCTAGCCATGATCCCGGAAGCGTGGTGGGCGATGAGACGGTCAAAGCTTAGTGCGTGCCCTGATGCTGTTGACACTACAAGTATATCTAGGGATTACCCAATAGACACTGCGTCTTTTCCCTGGCATCATCGTCTGCATCTATGCTCGACGAACTTTGATGTTCGAGACAAGACTCTATGCAGTGAACAAGACTTGCTTGACCAGACGACAAGCTTTTGGCCAAGAATGATCCAGGTGGCAATCTTGGGATTCTGGAAACGCTACGGCTAGAGTGGTGATTAGCCGCCTTACGTCATCCACTTCAATAATTCCACCAACAATCAATCTATGCTAGCGCCACATGGCCATCTCAGCTCTACTCATACAAACATCTTTAAGAGCAATAACATCGTGGAGTACGCTACACCAGCACAAGATTGATGGAATATCGTGATGTTGGACGATCGAGTCGGTCGCCGGTAGTCAGGGCGGAGGAGCCACGACCCCACAAAATGCCTCGGTGCCCGAGCGGCTCCACCAGCATTCCAAGAAATGCGGGGTAAACGTCATAACAGCTCGACACATCGTTGATATTCTGGGGAAACCTTGAAAGAACAACGGTTCACACGTTGCAAAACCCGCAACTCCCATATCAAACACCGACAAAGCCCGATCGCCGCTGCCTCACCAACATGACCGACCCCAAGATCTCGACAGCCAGTCAGCGCTTGACGCAGATCAAAGATTTTCTCACCATGAATAAGACGGCAACAACCATACCATGGGATCCAGATAGCACTAAATTTCCGACAAGGAAGGAATTGCCTCAGATTCCCGGGGCGCCTCCGGAGGCTGCTTGGGTTTGGGGTGACAGCGACTACGTATGTTTGACCGAAGTCTAATCTAGTTGCGGGCCGAACTGATCAGATGTAGATCGGCCGCCTCAATCTCCTAACGCCCACACGTGTCGCAGCGGCTGCGA